TGAAGGGAAGGTGCCTCTGAGCAGCCCCCCCCCCGAAGACGGGGCGGCTGCTGGTGCCCGCCTGACCCCCACCACCTCGGCAAGTGTGCTACCGCCATTCCCGTGCCACGGGGAGCAGCCCGAGGCTTGGAGAAGCCACACGTGCCCGAGGTGGTGGAGCAAAATTTTGATCCCAGCTCTCTCTGGAACCTAAACAAAATGTGCCAAATACCTGCACATGCCCTGCAAGGACTGACTGTTCCATAAAGATCTGTGACATGAGCATCTTAAGTTAACATGGAAGGTGACGTAGCACTCCCACCAGCCCACGTGCCCACGAGTAGTGGGCTGGATGCCAGCCAGCGGGGGCCATCAGCCCTTGGGGTGGCCATCCACGGTCCCCAGGGGGTCTGAGAAGGTCTCAGAGGGCAGAGCCATTGCTGGAAACTGCAAGCCTGCGGGCGAGGCTCCGCGGCCCCTGGGAACACCCAGCGGAGACCTCGCCTCAAAAGTGCAGGCTCCCAGCCCAGGCTGCCACCGCGCGGGCACCGGAGGCAGTGCCCACCTGAGTTCTGGCCGTGTGCATGTGCCAGGCGCATGGGGAGCACAGTGACTATTTCTCAGAACCACAGCCTCCATCCAGCTCCCCAAACGGAGGGCCCCCCTTCGTTCCCCGGCACCAGCCCTGGTCTCCGAGCCACGGCCAGGCAGGGGGCTGCCAGCAGGCATCGTTGACTTTGGAGAACATTCTGGAAAGAGAGGTGCTGTCTTGAAAGCTATTTGCTGATGTGTATGAAATAACTTTTTTTTTTTTAAATAAAATATCCTTTCCCTCGGAATTTTGTAGGGAGTTTATCAGGTCAAACCACTTTGGTTTAACTCTTCGAGTGAACACATAATGTCATGATATAAGATCTCTTGCCCTGGCTGGTGTGGCTCAGTGTATAGAGTGTCAGCCTGCGGACTGAAGGGTCCCGGGTTCAATTCCGGTCAAGGGCTCGTACCTTGGTTGCAGGTTCCCCGGCCCTGGTCGTGCAGGAGGCAACCAATCGATGTGTCTCTCTCACGTCGCTGCTTCTCTCTGCCTGTCCCTCTCCCTCCCACTCTCCCTAAAAATCAATGGAAAAATAGCTTCAGGTGAGGATTAACAAAAAATAACAAATAAATAAATAAATAAAAGGCCGGGCCGCAAACCAAGGTCACCAACTTGGATGTGACATGCAAAGTACACGCTCCCCCCCGCTGGGGGCCCCCATGTGGCCCTGACCTGCCCTGTGCCTGGGCTAATGGGGAACCTGGACCCCCCTACACATGTGTGTGTGTGCACGCACGCACATGCACACACACACACACACACACACACGAGCATACCTACAAACTGGTGCAATACGAGGTGTGTAATCCAGTCCATAGCATTGAACCCATGTCAATTCCCTGGTTTCGATGGTGCATATAGCAGTGACTCAGCCCACGGGGACATGTGTCGATGTCTGGAGACACTGTTACGACGCGGGGAGGAAAGTGCCACTGGCATCTAGCAGGTCAAGGACAGGGATGCTGCTAGACATCCTACATGCACAGGACAGCCCCCCAAACACACACCCCCACACACACACACACACGCTCACACACACACACACTCACACACACACACACTCACACACACACACACTCACACACACACACACTCACACACACACACACTCACACACACACACACTCACACACACACACACTCACACACACACACACTCACACACTCTCACACACACTCACACATACACCCACACTCACACATACTCACACACATACACCCACACTCACAAACACTCACACTCACTCATACACACTCACACTCACACATTCATACACACACTCACACACATACACTCACACTCACATACACTCACACTCACACACACACACACACACACACATGTGCGTGGCCCAAATTGGCGATCCTGCCAAGGTGAGGAATCCCACAGTGTAGTCCTCAAAGGCACTGTCATTGGGGGAGGCTGGGTGACGGGGACACAGGACCTCACTGCACTGGTTTTTGCAATTTCCAATGAGTCTGTAATTATTTCAAAACTAGAGGCCCAGTGCACAAAATTCGTGCAAGAATAGACCTTCCTTCCCCCGGCTGCCGGCACCGGCTTCCCTCTGGCACCTGGGACCCAGGCTTCCCTCGCAGCCCCGGCCTTATCTGGAAGGTCATCCGGAAGGATGCCCGGAAGGACACCCAGTATAATTAGCATATTACACTTTTATTGTCATAGATAAAAACTTAACAATTTTTAAAGATTCGGGGCTACTCAGTTCAGCAGAGCTCTGCCTCTCTGGCGATCAGCCACTCATGCAAAACTGCAACGCTCCCCATTCACCTAAGGGTTCGGCTGTCCACGCCGGCCAGGACGTCAGCACGTGACCCACTGCACATGTCTGTGGGGGGGAGAGCAGCCCTGGTCGGAGCCGAGACTCACACACAGTCACACCCCCGGGCCTGGCGTGAAGACAGAACTCCCTGTGCTCAGAACAGTTGCCTCCTTCCCTCGAGCCCCACCTCACGTGAGACGAGGGCCTTCGGGAAGACATCCCATCATCTGCAAGACAGAGCACTCGGTCAGCATCTCCGCCAGTCACAGCGGCCCTCGCCCTCTGACTCAGGGGGTCTGGCCTCTCGCACCCTCAGAGCCTAGATAGCAGCTGATACGGAGCCCGTGCGTCCCACCCGCGAAGCCGCGTCCTGAAGTTCACCTGACACCCCAGCCGGCCCCGTGTTGCTTCTCCCTCCATAAGAAAGTGCCTGCTAGTGACACGAAGCAGACACGAGCGCTTCTGTTCCACCAGGAGCAGCACAGACATCCGGCCACCACCTCACGTGGGAAACTGATTTCCGTCAACTCACAGCACAGAACTGTCACTGACTCCCCTAGTCAAGGTCATTCTTTGTTCACATGCTTTTACTGATTCGACAGAGAGGAAGGGAGAAGGAGAGACAGAAACATCCATGATGAAGAGAACCATGGATGGGCTGCCTCCCGCACGCCGCCTACCGGGATGGAGCCCGCAACCCGGGCCTGTGCCCTGGCTGGAAATCAAACCATGACCTCCTGGTTCAGGGGTCGATGCTCAACCACTGAGCCAGACTGGCCGGGCTCAAGGTCATTCTTAACCCAGTCTCCCCCACTTGGGGTCCAGGGTGAAGGACTGTACTGGCCAAAGGCACCCCCCAACAGGATAGGAGTTGAAAGTCTGTGATACATGTCACACTCTGCTTGTCATAGTTGGGGGTGCTCTGCAAAGCCCCTCACAGCCCATTGGAAACATGGCAGCCGGAGGCAGTCCCCCGCCCCCCCCCCCCGAGCTGAGTGTCGGAGCCGAGTCTGGGGTTTTCAAGGACCTGTTTCCAGTTGGAGGGTCAGCCCCTCAGCACACTTGCACCCCGTGCTGAGCACAGAGCAAATGAAGGCGAGCACACGCTGGGAGGTTTGTGGAGACGCTTCTAGAACAATCAGCAGAGTACAGTGAGGTGGGGCCCATCCTGCTACTTGCGGATGAGGAGGCTGGGAGGACAGGGAGCTGAGGCCCAGCCCAGACCGGGGTGTCCCGTGCTGTCCTCGGACTCTCCGTCTGGGGGGCCTTCCACACCCCCACCCTCACCCCCAGTAAACACCAGGCAGCATGCGTGTCTTCCCCTGAAGTAAAATAAACACATGCAAATTGGATGCAGATGAGTGAACAGAAAGAGGCCTTGTGCTGGAAAACACACATCTCTAAGCCACTGACCGAGAGCGGGTGACCTGTCGGAGCCCCGGCGTCCCCGCCCGTAGTCACATGGACGCCCACTCGGGGCCACGGGAGGGCTCCCTGAGACGCCTACCCTGCGGCTCCAAGGGGCCCCAGTGGGTGTCCTGCAGATATGAGTCTCTTCCCACTCCCGTCCCCACGCACCTTCTCCACAGCTCAGTGCCTATCACTGCAGAAAGTACTGGGAATTCTGGGAGGCTCTGTCCAGGGCGACACAACCCCCAGAGCTGCCTGCTGACTCACAGAGCTGCCTGGAACTGAAGTTCAGGGGCAGCCCTGCCCCGAGCACGTGCACAGGGGCTGTGGACACGGGTCCACGGGGCAGGAGCGGAGTCTCCATCCCCCCTGCCCCCTCCCCCTCCGCAGACTCACCGCAGACCTTCCTGAACCGTCTAACCGAACGGGATTCCTCCCCTCCGAGCAGGGCTGTGAGGGCCACCTGCCCAGCGCCGGACTGGGGAGGGCCATTGCCAGCTGAGATGTGGCCTGGGGCGCTCGCTCCCCAGCCTGGAAACACGGGACAGAGCTGGTGCCACTGGCCCCGAGACCCTGGGAACCCCTGAGAGAGCCCCCATGCGAGGAGTGAGAGACAGGGTTGGAAGTCATGGCCCGAGACGGGGCTGGAGAGGGGGGGTGCCAGACGGTGGAAGGAGGGGTGCAGGGAAGGCACCGCACCCCAGGCTGCCCTCTCCCTGGGGCACCAGGACCGGCTGCCCCCGCTCCCAGCAGGGCCTCTGCCATCCTCAGCTGCGTGGAGGCTCCGGGACCCCCAGAACAGGAGGTGGGGAGGCAGCTGAGCGGGGCCATGGGCTGCCCCAGAGACCATGGTGCCCAAACCCACCAGCCGTTCACACCCCCAAATCAGACACTCACCCTCAAGAAAGCGCCCTGCGGGGAGGCTGAGAGGAGGCGGAGGAGAGTGTCCGGCAGGAGGACCCGCCCTCAGTGCACTTCACATTTGGCGCAAGGGGTACCCCACTCCCTGGGCAGCTGCCCAACTGCCCTGCCTCTCCCAGTCAGGTGCCCGTGAGGTCTAAGCTCCCGGGAACTGCGAGGGGCCTCGGGGTGCGCAGTGCAGGCTCCACAGAGGCTGGGGGGCAGCGAGGAGGCGCTCCAAGAGTGTCCGGCAGGAGGACCCGCCCTCAGTGCACTTCACATTTGGCGCAAGGGGTACCCCACTCCCTGGGCAGCTGCCCAACTGCCCTGCCTCTCCCAGTCAGGTGCCCGTGAGGTCTAAGCTCCCGGGAACTGCGAGGGGCCTCGGGGTGCGCAGTGCAGGCTCCACAGAGGCTGGGGGGCAGCGAGGAGGCGCTCCAGGGCCCTCTCCTCCCAGACGCAGACCTGGAA